GATGAGAATATCTAATGGATAATCATAACACTCTTGGTCACATGTTTTTCCTGCAGCCTGAAGGTTTTTAAAAGAAAAAGATATGAAATGCCTGCTGCTACCACCCTTTTAAATTGCTATCTTTTGAAAAGCACCAGTATGTGTTTTAGATTGATTTCCCTATTTTAGGGAAATGACAGACAGTAGTTTCAGTTCTGATGGTATAAGCAAAACAAATAAAACATGTTTATAAAAGTTGTATCTTGAAACACTGGTGTTCAACAGCTAGCAGCTTATGTGGTTTGCCCCATGCATTGTTAGCGTTTCAGATCTTAATGGTTCTCTCCAACAGCTATTTCTGTAGTACTTGCATTTTATCTTTTGTCTAACCCTAACTGAATTATATCTTCTCATGGAGGCATTTATATTCAAAGTGGCGATTCCTTTACTTAGATGCATAGGGAGAGTCACAAGTTTGATGGAGATGACAGTTTAGTAATTTATGTACTGTTGGAATTTGTGCTAGCAGTTTGAGCACTAGTTCTTTGTGCCTATGAACTTAATGCTGCTTGTCATATCCCACTTTGACTTCATGGAGAATTAATCCCATCTTTTCAGCAAAGGCTACTAATACTAAGTTAATGGTATTTTCTGTGCAGAAATTGAATTTTGTTTTATTAGCCTTTAGTTAAGGAATTTTTCCAGTAGGTGCTCAGCCACTAAAGAAAAAAACAAAACACAAAAATGATTCTCAAAACATTCATTGTTTAGACAACTGGAGTTTTTGCTGGTTTTGTAACCTAAAATGGATAGGCTGTTGAACATTCCACATTCAGAAGTTTTTTTGTAGGGTGGTGGGGAAGGGGGGGTATTTTCAATGTTTATTTTAAAATAAAATAAGTTCCTGACTTTTCTCATGTGTGGTTGTGGTACATCATATTGGAAGGGTTATATGTTTACTTTTATATATGAGTATTTCTTTTGCTAGCACCTCCCGTTGTGTGCTTTAAATGACATCTGCCTGGGATGTACCACAACCATATGTTAGCTGTATTTCATGGGGAATAGATTAAAATATTCATGGTTTACTGGGTAATCCCTAGATGTGTATGCTTACAATCCTTCTATATACAAAACTAAATTTGCTATCTGTGTAGAAAATAATTTCATGACATTTAAAATTGAAGTAAGTAAGTTCTTTATACAGTGATCTCTCTGAATAAGTTCAGAGATGGGATGGGGGAGAAATGCTTTCTAGGTTTCAAACGTCTATGCATTAGTGTAGATGTTGTGAATGTGTAAAGGTGTTAGTAGTTTCATTATTTCTATGTATGTTTTTAAAAGAGTCGTTTGTTCTTTCTGAAATACTATAATATTTTTTTGGCATTCTATCATCACAGTCTAAATGTAAAGCTTTTATGTCTCAATCCAGACTATATTTTTTAAAGGAGGTGCCTTGTTATGAGGCAGAGAACTTTTTAAAAAGTCCCGTTAAGATCTGAGTCTTGGTACTAAGTGTTCTGTATAATATGTGAATACTTGTCCTACCTGCAGAAGGCCTTTTGTTTGGTCAAATGCATATTTTAGCAGAGTTGCAAGAAAATGACTGTCACATGTGTCACTGTAGCTTCTTGGTATAGTAAGACTCCACATATAAAGTACTTTTGTAAATGCACAATATCAATCATCTCATGTGGATAACGAGACTTCTATTTTAAAGCTTTAAGGTAGAATGTTGTTGATGACCTTGGTTAGAGCAGTTTTATTTCTAGATCCTAATATCCCTACCGAATGTGGAAGAGTTTTTACAATCACTGTATCTTGCTATTAAAACAAATATCCTTTGAAACACTTTTTAATCAGTTAGCTTCTATAGTTCTTTTGTCTCCTATATATGCAACTCTGTTATGTGGGAGACTTTTCCACTTATAGGAGGCATGAGAATATGTTTATTTTCAGAAGGCTCAATAACTGAAGTGCTCTGTTGACAGCCAATTCATAAAGTGTAGAAGGCAGTTGAGTCATCAGCCTCCTAAGTGTCTTAGGAAATTTGTGCTGTTCTTTTATTTTCATTAATATATCTAATTAGGGGATTGAGATACAGGTAAGCACTGAGTTCAGACCTTTTTTCATTTCATCTTAATAAGTTCTGGATCCTTATCCTACTTGAGTACTTACTAAGCACTTTGACTATAAATAATATTCAAAGAATCAGTATTGCCCTTAAGCTTATCCCTTCTATAAAGTCAGTGGGGAGGGAAAACCATCAGGAAAATGAAAGTAAATTGTTAAGGCTTATCTCTATACCTTTCCCCATTCTGAGTTCTATAAAAATACTGGAAAAGAATAGTGAATGTCTTAAATTACATAGATTAAATATTAAAGTCTGATTCATTACTGTCCTTGAGTGAAGTCTGCATTAGTTGTGTGTAGTATCCAGCAAAGCTCTGAAGTGCTACTTAGGAGAGGAAAAACCTTAAAAGCAGAGGAAAAACTTCTGGTAGCCTGGTCTTCTCAGGAGCCTAGACTACCACCATCTTCTTTCAGTCAGGAGCTCATGGAATGTAGGCAGGGAAAAGACCATCTGGTATAGTGTTGTATTCTTATTTGTAAGTGCTGCTTTAAGTATGGTCTTTACATTAGGGAGACACCTTATTAGTCCAGTGAACTCAGGCTTCATTTGGCAAGTTTGGGTGTCCTTTGCCAAGCATAATGGTGAGCGCTAAGCATTCAGTGGTGACAGAATCACTGTGGTTCCTGCTTTCACTGAGCAGTCTCTTCAGAGATAATGTTGTGACACAAAACTAGCAAATGCTATGATGGAGCAACATAATTGATGACAGCTATAAAGACCATGACTGATAAGTTATGACCTAGTCAAAATGATTGGGAAAGACTTCGTTGAAAGGGATAATTGAACTAAGACTTGAAGGATGAGGAGTAATTAGGTAGAGAAGTGGAGAGAGGAGCATGTCCAAAGGTACAATCTCCGTGACTAAGCTGTCTGCTCAGGTAAGAATACTGGTTTTAGTAGAGTTGGAAGCTGGAAAACAGGTAAAGAGTATTACAGGTGGCTTGATAGTACTGTTCCATGTTTTGTCTCCAGAACAGTTGGAAAATGTAAGGTTTCTAAGCTTTGTGTGTATGGGACCAGTAGTGGGGTAAAGGATAGTGAGTCACCTAACAAAATTGTCATTTAGAGAATACACAATGCAGTTTTGAGAATAAACTGGGGCAAGAGATGTCATGGGAGTATCCCATGTGAGAAATGATTACAGCAAAATGGAGGGCACTAATGAGTGGATCCTACGTATTTCCTGTCTCACTTAGTGCCCAGTATCCTTTACTTGGGTAATCCAGACTTCAGTCGTGATACTGATCTCTAACTACATTCTTCCCTAGGTGATCTCCAATCCCAGGACTTTGAATACAATCAGTATTTTAGTCACTTCTGAATATTTCTAGGTCCCAAACTCCCATCTTGGGTGTTACAAATCAATCTCTTCATTAACCTGTATTCATCCATTTGCTTAGGGTAAATACTAGTCCTTAACCAAATCAAATAACTTGAAAATACATCCTGAATCATCTAACATTTCTGACCACCACTACCACCAGCTTAGAGCAGGGTAACTACAGTAGCTTATAATGGCTTGCTCTGCTGCTGCTCCTCATCCTGCAGTGATTTTTGTGGGCAAGTCAGATTTGTCACTTCCTGGTTACCTAAACTCCGCTGGTTTCCCCATCATAGTTAGAATTCTAAATTTTGGTCTATGTGCGTTCATTATTTGACCTAATTTTGTTCTTGCTCACTGTAGTCTAGCCAGTTATCTATGTGTTAAATCTTCAGCATGTGAAGGCTTTTCACTCAAATATTCTTTCTAAATTAAGATGTTTGCTCCAGTGTCATCAGCTCAGAGGCCTTCCATGTCCACCACTAAAACATATCCTTAGTCACTTTACTTACTGGATAGTTTCTTCTTAATAGTACTTAAAACTTACCCAGAATTCTGCAAACTTTATGCGTGACAAACATTTTGGTCATTTTATCCCGTGTCTGGCATATTGACATTTGTTGAGCAAATCTGAAAATGATGGATGTTGGACTAAAAATGGGCAGTAGTGATGATTACATTGGAATTGGAAGAGTCTTGATTTGAGGAAGGAGTTGTGGCTTCAGGCATTTTGAGTCTGAGGTATTCAAGAAATGTCAAGCAAGCAGTCTGGAGTTGTTTACTTGAAGTTCAAAGATCTGGCCCAGACTATAAGAATACATAGGCAATTCTTGTAATAAGCTTGGGCGAGTTCCCTGGGAGCTGGGCGGGAGGGAGGAGGAGAGGAGGGGAAGTAATTCAGCAAGAGCAGAGCCCCAGAGCTGGTTTTCGTTAGTCGCCATCATTTAATGGCCAGTTTAGGCCCAAAGGGAACTTGCAAAGTACCCGCACTGGCGGGTAGAAATAATACTGAATTTCCAACAGGTATACACGGTCATTCCGGTGTGTAAGGAAGATCAAGTGGATGAACTAGATGTGAGCGAGTTTCCTCATTTTGTCACATTAAAATGGGAAGTTTCTTAAATAAAAGAATCGGTAAAATTACGCATAGATCCCTGGAGTCGGTCGTGTCGTGTAACTAGGCTAAACACTAAGAACCCCGGACCACTTAACGTGTGCTACCGCGGACCTATCTGGCAACCCGGGCTCGCCCAACAGAGGCAGGCGCTTGCTTTCCCCTTCCGAGCCAGGGGAGCTTGATTCTGATACGCGAGGCAAATGCACCTGTGCCACGGCGAGGAGACTAAATTCCAAAGCCGCGTGGGCGACGTAGGCTGCAGCTCCGCCTCCCGGGCCTATGACGTCATCATACGGGGACAGGGTTGACGAAGGTCCCCGCACGCGCGCCGCGCCGTTAGTGCGCTCGCGCACATGTCTTCTTCCGGTGCCTGAGCAGGACCCGCGTCGCGGAGTGAGGCCAGCTCTGAGAACGCGCGGTCTGGCATCCGCTAGGGGCAGCCCGCCGCTCCCTCCGGGCTTCTGGAGTAATTGGGTTTCCACACGTGCTTCCGCTTGGCTGCTGGCTGGGTTCCGCTGGGCTCGAGGTGCAGGTATCCCAAGACGGGATGGCTGGGGATGGGTACCACGGTCGGTGTCTGTGTCCTGCTTGGGCCCAGAGGTGGCCGGCTCGAGGACAAAGGCTCTGTATGCGTGCCGATGCACGGCCCGCGCCGACTGCGGTCCCACACGGGCGCTCCTAGATGACAGGGTCCTCTTCTCCGATTGGCGGCCACTCTCCGCGTGCATCTCGGGCGCTCTCGGGAGTTGCGTGGCTCCATCTCCACCTTCTAGGGAACTGTGGGTCGGGGTGAAGGATGGGTGGCAACACCTTTGCTTTCCGCGGAGCTTGCCTACAGGTCCAGGTTTCGGCGCTGGGCATTAAACTGAGGCAGTCTGATTCCAGATCCTTCTATGTTTTCAACTGTCTCAGCTCGTTCGTCTTTATTCAGCAGTCACATTCAGGACTTGTTTTATTTGCTGATGCGTTTAGAATGGTGACTGGCACATAGATGCTGTGTTTATTTGTTAGGCGAATAGATGAGTGAATGAGGAATAGTCCTCTTTTCCCTCAAGGCCTTCTTCCTCCATTAAGCCTTCCATGGCAATTCCAGCCCACGGTAATCTCAGGCCTTCATCAGACCACTGACTGTACTGTTATTATTATATCTAGTTTTGTCTGTTTTTAGACAGATTGCCCCTTATCTCTTTCTCTTGAATGTTCTCTCCAAGGAGAATGAAAGCGCCTTGAAGTCAAGGCTTATCTGGTATTATTTCTGGGACTCCCACAGTAACTAGAGCAAAAGCAGTCCCTACTAATTAGTTGCCGAATGGATTGTGTGTGTTCTCTCTGTGGCCTCAACTCAGCTGACAAGTTGCTCAGAGTGGTGAGCGGGAAAGAGCTTAGGCTTTGGAGTCAGGCAGATTTGAATGTGAATCCTGTCTGTTACATTTCTTCCTTAAGATACTTGAATTCTTTATTTTTGCTCCTTTCCTTATAAAAAAAAAAGGAGCCATTGAGCGTAACATAATGTTTTATGTTAAGAAAGGACTGCTAAAATCATTATTTGGATTGGAGGTTAGAAGGACAGTTAAGGCACAGTAAAAGTACAGTTAATGAACTTTTTATTTAGAAAGTCGTGGGCCCTGGAGTTTCTAGGTGGCCTGTCATTCTTAATTTAACATTGTAGAAATATGATTGATATTCTTGATGTGTCTTTGGTGTGTTTATTGTGGTAATGATGCATTATTGTATTGTACATAGTCATAATTTTTAAGGTCTGTCTGTACAGGCTTCAGTATGGTTTCCTCTCCTTTGAAGAGACATTTGGACACATTTCATCACAGTAACATTCATCGATTTCCTTTCTGTGACTTTATTACTAATGCATGTAAAAAAAAAAAACCCTCTAAAAAACAGAAGAACAAAATAAGAAACACCTGCAGTCTTACCATCCAGAAATAATTACATTTTGGTGTTTTCTTCCAGGTTTTTTCCCTTTGTGTTATGTACATCCATAAAAAAAATGGTATCATGCTTTCTTCTGTGAAGTCTGTCTTCTCATTAGCATCTTTATCCATATCCTTAGATAATTTCTGAAAGCAATTTTGAAAAAAACTCTTTCAAAAACTGCCTTATTTCACAAATATATATCTCACCATCATGTATTTTAATCATTCTATTTTGTGCAACATTGTTTCAAGTTTTTAAAAAACCTCTTTGATAAAAGTGTGAAATACAGCTTCCCTTCTGACTTCCATGCTGAGGAAACATTCTCTTCACCTCCCAAGACTCAGTTTCCTAATTTTAAAAATGGGACTGATGTGTTCCCTAGGGAGCGGTTAGAGGGTTAAGTAAAATGATACTTTCAGACGTGCTTAGCTTAGCCCCTGGTCCCACAGGAGGCTGCCAGCTCATGTTCCTCCCCCAGAATCTGGTGTTCATGTCCAGTTGTGTTTCCTTTCTCTCTCTTTCAGTGATAGTCTTTCACCATGCATCGCAAGAAGGTAGATAACCGAATCCGGATTCTTATTGAGAATGGAGTCGCTGAACGGCAGAGGTCTTTGTTTGTTGTAGTTGGAGACCGAGGAAAGGATCAGGTAAGAGAAGTGAACACTTCCTGACTGACTTCGTGTCTTGTCCCACAGTTAACTTGTTACTGCCCCTCCGTGGTGTCTGCACATAATACCACTAAGGTCTCTTTGACTGGTTTTCTTTACATAAAATGTCTAGTGAGAACCTAGGGGTGACTGCGAGGTGAGAGTGTGTGACCGGGGTTCTGGTTAGTCCCTGCCTGGGCACTGCCCTCTCCTGGCCCTCTGTTTACTTTCCAGATCTGTGAAAATGAGGTCTTGGCTCTGGCAGTCTCTGAGGTCACTTTTGGCCATGAGATTCTGTGGCTTTTTCCTTTGGCAGGTGGTCATACTCCATCACATGTTGTCCAAAGCAACCGTGAAGGCTCGGCCTTCAGTGCTGTGGTGTTATAAGAAAGAGCTGGGGTTTAGCAGGTAAGTTGGGTGCTTTTGAGTGTCCCGTACCGTTTACAATTCCTTCTCCTTAATTATGTGCCAGGAAATGATTACCTGACATAGTTTTTCAGGGATTGTTTGGGAGGTGCTACCTCTGAGGACATTTCCAAATAGTGAAAATAATAGAGCTGATGTCCTTTCTTCGTTTCTGATGATAAGTTTCAAAGCCACTTTGCCCTTCCCAGGGCTTCTGGGGAACAGTACCATGTAATGGAAGCATTGGCTTGAGGCTCAGGTAGTGAGGCCCCCAAGGTTGATTTCAAGCCCTGGTCTAGCCAAATATGAGGTTTAGGCTAGAGGTTTAGGTCCCCATTACCCCCCTTTTGAAGATAAAAATCTGTGGAAGGTGCCAGGGCAGCACAGTAGAGTTCCCACACACACTTACCCCTGGCTCGGAGTCCATCCTCTTAATCTCTCTACTCTTACCTTCACTTTTAAAGGGAGGGGGTTAGCCCTGCAATTGCTGAGTTCCCTTCTAGTGCTGAAGGTCTTGATGGGTGATCAGTGAGCCTGTCCCCTGCTCCCACCCCTTTAGCCTCTCCGGTTAACAGGCTCTCCTGGGGTGGGTGGGTGATTGCAGTCACCGGAAGAAAAGAATGCGACAGCTACAGAAGAAGATCAAGAATGGGACATTGAACATTAAGCAAGACGACCCCTTTGAACTCTTCGTGGCGGCCACAAACATTCGCTACTGCTACTACAATGAAACCCACAAGATCCTGGGCAACACCTTTGGCATGTGTGTTCTCCAGGTGGGTGGCTTTCTCCAGCTTGGGGTTGGAGTCAGAGCGCGGAGGGCTCCCCACAAGAACCAGTGGACAGTAAGGAGAAAGACTGACCCACAGGGCCTCCCCCAAGCATTATCAGTGAGACCCTTGACCGCTTTCCAAAGCAAACTTGGTAACTCACCTCATATAAAAATAAACTTTTCCACTTAGCGACACCTAACCTAGAGGTACCGAAACTGACACAGATGCTCCATCACAGCTGGTTCTAGCCAGCTGAGGATGAGAAAGAAAGTATTGTGAACTTCAAGTGACCCCAGGTTCCCAGATCCTAATGGGAACTAGCTGAAGACTTTGGTGAGCAGGGAGTAGTGGGCCCTGTTTTAACTGGCTCAGTGTAGATCTGTGTGCTCCTGTCTTCTATTCAGAGCGCTTGATTGGTACACCCGCCCCCGACATCCCCCCATCCCTCTCTGTAGTCCTTACCCTCCCTCACTTTGCCTCCACAGAGAACTACCTGGTGCATTTCTTCTTCGGTATTCTTCTCTTGCCAGAGCAAGTTTCACATTTGTTTTTGCTTCTCGCTCTGGCAGTCTCTGTTTTATACTTTGAATCTTTGACACCTGTGACCCCTCCCTGCCCGCCCCCCGACAAGGAGAATACATTTAAGCCCCCATCCCCAAATTTGGTATGTGTTTATCATTTGCGAGTACTATCATCATTGTATACGTCCTAAGTCATACTTTATGAAAGGTAAATTAAGAAATGAGGGGAAAGTGCTCGCCTCGACACCACATACATTAGAGCTGAAACGACACAGAGGGGTCAGCATGGCCCTGTGCAAGGATGACACAGAGATTCCAGCAGTATTCCATACTTTTGGCATTCAGAGGGCACTCCTTGGGATGAGCACTGGGTGGTACATGTAAGTGATGAGTCACTAAATTCTACTCCTGAAACCAATCTTACACTCTATGTTAACTAACTTGAATTTAAATAAAATCTTGGAAAGAAAAAAAAAAGAGGAATGGGGAAAAATCACGCATTGGAAGTTTTTGTTTTATTCTTCCTACGTTGCAGTGGGTTGTCCCATACTGCCGGCTTGCATGCCACCTTGGAGACAAGAAAGGAGCATTTTGCCTCTTCTCACCTGGCCACTGGTTGGTAGTGAGTGCTCTTAGTCCACTGTTGTTGCCAGGTGCAGTGAAGATGTCTCCTTGAGGCCATGGCTCCCCCATGTGGGGCAGTTTGAGTTTTGTCAGGTTCTATGTAAACATGGCAGAAAACGAACGTGATGTATTTATGAAATACAAGCGCGAATCTATGAGGATGGGAGGATTCTTCCCAGATAGGATCTTGTGTGAGGTTATTAGATACACTTTTGTCATACAAAACCAGGTACACCTATTCCTCTAGTGCTGGACTCTCTTCTGTGCCCCTGAGTAAGGGGGTGGGGGTTTGGGTCCGTCCTGGTGAGTCGGTGGGGGCTATCGTCTTGGGTTCATGCTCAGAACCCTCCTTTTATTTGGTTAAGCTTTCCTGGGATTGCTCTTTGCATGACTAGCCCTTCCTAAGATCTCTTTCTTTTAGGATTTTGAAGCTTTAACTCCAAACTTGCTGGCCAGAACTGTGGAAACAGTGGAAGGTGGTGGGCTGGTGGTCATCCTCCTGCGGACCATGAATTCACTCAAGCAGTTGTACACGATGACCATGGTGGGTGTATGGTTTTTAACTGAGTTGTGGTGGTTTACATCAAGCTGTGTTTTTGCCCTCGCCCACTTTAAGAGTTGAGGGGCACCTGGTGGCTCAGTTGGTCAAGCAGCCGACTCTTGATTTTGGCTCAGGTTATGATCTCATGGTTTGTGGGATCGAGCCCCATGTCAGGCTCTGCACTGAATGTGGAGCCTGCTTGGGATTCTCTCTTCTCTCTACTCCTCCCCTGCTGTGTGCACTCTCTTCTCTCTCAAAATAAGTAGGTAGATGTTAAAAAAAAATCCTGTTGAACAGCTTTAGTGAGCGGTCAGCACAGGCTCTGGACTGGGAGCTCTTTGACTGTAAATAATGAGAAAGTCACTGCAGAGAAAGTCAGTGGCCCTGAATGTGCCCAAGCATCTCTGAATTTCACATTTGCTTTCAGGCATTTGTAAATTCTACACCTGTGAGATTCAAGTGTGTTGCAGCTGTCAGGTAGTTACATTTCTGGAATGGAATTCTGCAAAGAGCCACGCCTGTGCCTCCATTTGTGGATTGCAAGAAAGGGACTATGCACAGACTTCCCCACCAGTCCCCGTCCAATGGATAGTGAAGGAGCATTTGCCAGTTCCGCTCCCAGTTTGGCAAGAGCTTTGACTGTGGGAGGGGTAGTTTCCACCCAGAGCTGACGACGTGGTTAGGAGTGGGAATATGTCTCCGTGGATGCACAGCTGGTCTGTGGCCCCATCAGTATTGCCATGTGGGTGTTCCTCGTGACAGGTTTTAGTCACGGCCCCGTTGCCTTGCTCAGGAATGGCATTAGGATTGGCCTCAGGGTTTCACCGGCTCCCTTTATGTGGTGACATGGACTCTTCCACAGACCTTAGTAGCTGTTTCCCGTCACCACTGCTCCTCCCATCACTTGCCTCTGTTGTCCTTTGGCTTCCTCAGGGGCCCTCAGACTTGCTCAGTATGCTCTCACCTCACGGCCCTTGCACTTGCTGTTGCCATTGGGATATCTGAACAGGCTGCTTCTCACTGCATTCACGTCCCTGCCCTCATACCCCCTCCTCAGTGTGGGACACACCCTACCTGTCATCCTTGACCTCCTTGATTTGCCTCCGCAGCATCTGCCAGCTGCCTAAAGTTACATGTTTGTTTGTTTGTTGTCTGACTCCCTGTGCTGGTCTCTAAGCTTCATGAGATCAGGGACTTAGTTTTCCTCACTGGTGCATTTCCTAATTCCGAAAGAGTGCCTGGTGTTTAGTTAGCACTTGTTAAATATTTGAGAATGAACAAATGACTTCGTGTCCACATCAGTTTGTCCCCATTTACCCCGCTGCCTGTTTCTCACCTCAGAGGGCCTTCTGTCACTACCCCATGTAAGTAGCTGCCCCCCTGCAAGTTGCTGTCCTTGTGCCATGTTTTTCATTTGCAACATTTGCCAGAATTTTTTTTATATTCCTTTGTTTCCCTTTGATCCTTAGACTGTAGGCTCCATGAGAACAGAGGTCCTGCTTTATTGAATACCGGTGTGTACCCAGCATGTCTGGCATACATTTGGCATGTGCATTTTGTTGAATGAGTGACTACATTTTATGATGCTTGATAATATGTGGAAAAAGCCAAAGCTGAGGTGAGGAGATGTTTGTTGTAATAAAGAATATTACCTTTAGTGTTCAGTGCTCCAGCCTATTTCCAGCAAATAGCAGTTGGGCTGTTCAGCACTGCAGGTTACAGAGAGGAGTTCCAGCCGTAGCTCTGGCGCCTTCTTTCTCCCAGGCTTGCTTGATAGAATTTCTTCACACTTGGACTGCGAGCCCCAGTGCTGTTGGGATGTCTCTGTTCACAGATGTTGTCTCTCTTAGGATGTGCATTCAAGATACAGGACCGAGGCCCATCAGGATGTGGTGGGAAGGTTTAATGAGAGGTAGGTCTGAAGCACATTTCTCAGGTCCTTGATTGTGGGGAGCTGTGGTGGGAAGGATAGTTTTGTCTTGGACCCAGATGAAAGCTGTGGTTTTGTCTGAGGGAGGGGAGCCCAGGGGTACAGAGCGGTCAGATTCCTGACCGCAGTGGCGGTTGTGAAGCCAACAGTAAGCAGTGAAAGTGAGTGGGGAGCTGGGGCCTGAACCAAGTCACTTTCCTCGCCGGCCTTTAGCATACTCACCTGTCAGAGGGCTGGATTGTCTGGATCAGTTTCCCCAAACGTGTTTCACAGAACACTAGTATTTTAAGAGGGACTTTGTGACAAAAGGGTTTCTGGCCAGATGCATCTGGGAAACGCTGATACAGTTTTTTCTGTGTGAACATTTACATTAGCCTGTTGGAGCCTCTGAAAAGTGTTGCAACAGCAGGGACCTATTTAACTGATTGTTTCCCAGATTCATTTGACCACAGAGCTGTTTTTTAGGGAGCACCAGTTAGCAGCCTGTGAAATACCTTAAGAAGCTGTGGCCTGGATCAGAGGTCCTCATATATAACAGTCTCGCTCCCTGGGGACATTTGGCAATGTCTGGAAACCTTTTGATTGTCACGACTTGAGGGGTGCGGAGTTGGGGGTGGGGAGGGACACTACTGGCCTCTAGTGAATAGAGGCCGGGGGTGCTGCTAAACAGCCTAAAATGTCCAGAACAGTCCCACAACAGAATCTTCTGGTCTGAAATGTTGCTGGTGCTGAGGTTAGGAAATCCTGGCCTCGGTGAAGCTTGGGGCCGTTCCAGTTTGAATCCTCTCTGGTGTTTTCACTCAGTAGATGGAGTAGGCCTGGGGGTGGCCGTGTACTGCTGGGCAGAATGGAAGCCTGTGAAAGTAGCATGTAAGGTTCTCTTCTTGCACCTGTGGGAGAATTTGGACTTCTCCAGCCAAACACATGTTTTCCTACACACAGGAATGTCGTGTTATATTTCTTAAGGGAGCTTTCTTCTCAGCTTTAGTTTTTCTTCCTTGTGGCAGAAAGTAAATTTGTGTGTGGGTTTATTTCCCTGTGACGGTGATTATTTGTGGGGTGGGGTAGGAGTTCCCCATTTAAGGATGGCCTGAGATAGCTCAGTCCCTAAAGGGTGAGCCTCAGAGGTGTGGGAAGGACCCTGTGACTCAGCTGTGCACAGTAGGAGTCCTTGTACCCCGTGTCTCGAGAGAGTTCTGGGTTTTCTTGTTTGCTGTATAAAGTGTGTTCAGGTGCCTTGTAGAGAAGGCTCAGAGTCCTCTACTGTTGCTCTCCAGCTGAGTTTTGGCTTTCTTTGTCTTTCTTAGAGACAGGTGGGTGTCAAATCGTTTTCCTCAAGAAAAGCCACACCTTTGTTTTATAGATCTTGCCTCCCTACCCCCAACACCTCATTACGGTTTTGTTCTTCAGATTTATTCTCTCTCTGGCCTCATGTAAGAAGTGTCTTGTCATCGATGACCAGCTCAGCATCCTGCCCATCTCCTCCCACGCCGCCAGCATTGAGGCCCAACCACCCCAGACTCTGGTGAGTCAGCCAGGGGTCCGGGAATCTGGGGGAGACCGTGGTTTTTGTGTGGACCCTCCCGTGGCAGTGGCAGACCTTCTCCTCCTCTCTGGTAGGATGAGAATCTTGGTCCTGCTGATCTGGAGCTGAAGGAGTTGAAGGAGAGCTTGCAGGACACCCAGCCCGTGGGTGTGTTGGTGGATTGCTGCAAGACCCTTGACCAGGTGAGTGTGGCGTTTCAAACTTCCCCATTCCAGGATAGACAGGGCAGAGGTAAAATAGAACGTGCAGAAAGCAGCGGAAGCCAGGTTAGGACAAGTGAGGATTTGGATCCTCCTTGGGGAAGGGACCTTTCCTCTTGCTTGAACAGCCGCAGTAACACCAGGGCTAGTCTCTGTCATCTGTGTTCATGGCAAGTCCAAGGATTATGTCCCCCTCCACCCTGGGTCATCAGTGCCCCTAGTAGAGGGTCTGGGGGAAGATGGATGGAATTTAAAGAGGAACCCCCCCATGCTTTTTCCAAGAGAGGGTGGTATATCTGTATTCTTCCATTTCAGTTCAGCTTTGATGACATAAAGGGTTTGGCTTATGCCTTGCAGAGAAGTGCGAGGAGAGCCTGAGGCCCCTTGTACTTACTTCGGTTCCAGAGTGAGTCCTGATGGGGCCCTCCGGGGGGGTGGCCTGATCTTTAGGTACGGATAGTATGGTGGGTGGGAGCTTCCAGAATGCACTTCTCTGCTCATAGAGGTGGCCAGGGCTGGAAACTTAGATTCTCTCGTGGTGCCTGGGCCGAGCAGGAGCTGACTGGGCAGTGCCCAGAGGCCTTCAGATTGTCAGGTGTGTTCAGGATTCTGATCCTGAGCCTCTTGGCACTGGGCTCTCCCCTCATGATGGAAAACAGCTGTAGTGACACCTCCCACTTGGGGCGGAGTCCCAACACATTGCTTTCCCTGGGCATTCTAGAAATATAATTATCAGCCACATAGCTCTCTATGCAGATGCTGTAGGCTTTAGGTGGCTTTGAATCATGCCTGGGTAACCTTTGTCAGAGAGAGGAAATGCGAGATGGAGAAAGGGCAGAAGAGGGAGAAGCTGTAAAAGCAGCGGTAGTGTTATAAGATAATGCATAGAAAAAATTTCTGAGTATGAAAGAGTATGGGTTAAAAATGGAAAATGGTGTTTCTACTTGGCAGCCCTACTCTGCAGAGACAGCTGCCTTTAACAGCTTATTTTGGATGCTTCTGGAACTTTGTCTATGCATACAAATGGATATTTTAAATACCTGTGAAGAGGTTACACTGTACAGTGTAAGTGATCCCTATTAGCCATTGGGTTGATTGCAGTTTTTTTATTGTTATAAACTGTGCTGTTAGGATCTTCTTACAGATATGCATTATCTCTGGGATAAGTTTCTTCCCAGAAGAATTGCTGGATTAGATTGTGTGTGCCTTAAAATAGGTGTCGTGCCAGTTTGTGGAACCAGCAACAGTGTGTGAAAACGCCCTTTTCCGTACGCCTTGCCATCACTGGCTACAGTTAAACTTCCAAGCTTACCAATGAGCTGTGGGAACACAGGTTTACTGTTTTTATTTGTGTTGCTTTGATTATGAGAGAAGCAGGCACTTTTTCATATAATTACTGGTCATCTGGGGTTTTTTGTTTTGTAAATTTGTTTGTGTATTGGTTTTTTATTTAGCAAATTATTTTAGAATGCATTTTCAGTCCGGATTTCTTAACACTTCTTTTATTCTTACTTTTCTATTATAATAGTGGATTTTTTCCAGTTATGTTTTGAGAGTTTAAAACTTCTCAAAAGTAAACCACAAAAGGGCAAAATACGGTATTTAGCGAAGGCCACGTTCAGATGAGCAGGGCCTGGATCCACTGAGTGTTTCCTCTGGAGAGACTGGCTTCCTGGAGCTCTTCCCGTCCGTCTGCCTGGGCTTATGTCTCTTCATTGTCTTCTTAGTGTGGCTGCCTGGGTGTGTAAGGCAACTTCAGGACCAGACAGGCCAGGTTGGACCATCTGGTCTTCTTCCCGCTCTTGGTGACCTGTTCCCAGGGCAGATGCCAGTCGGGGAGTAGAGTTTGGCCCCTAAGTAGTGTTGTGGTTTCTCCTCTCACTCATTGCCTGCTCTCCTAGGTGCCTGGCATGGCCCTAGGCGCTGGGCTCAGCAGTAAAAAGGAGGGGCATGTTCTGGTATCATGTGACTGACCAGGAGTCCAGGAAACCAGCCAGTTCTGAAGATTAGTAGAAGGGGCTGTGTACAGTGCAGATGCAGAGAGGGCATCAAAGAGGGGTTGGGGTGCAGGAGATGCGTAGAGGCTGTAGCTCTGGGAGGCCTCGTTGAGAAGGTAATCCTCAAGCAAAGGCTGGAAGGAGTTGGAGAGATGAGCCAGGGGCTGTCGGAGGGAGAGTGCTTCTGGCAGTGGGGCCACCGTCTGCATAGGCCCGAGGTAAGAGGCCGCCTGCCAGGTGTACTCGAGGACCAGCAAGGAGGCCGCCTGGGGTGAAGCAGAGTGAGTGGATGAGAGGAGGAGGAGATGGCAGAGGTGCCACGGCACAGCCACGCGGCCCTGAGGGCTTGGTGCTTACTCTCTGGGAGGAGGGTGCCCGTGGAGGGTTTCACACGCACAGCCGCTCAGACCAGCTTCTGGAGGGATCCTCACACTGAATTTTAGAAAGATCCCTCCGACTACTCTGTTGAGTCGAGACTGTAGGGGAACAAAGGGGAAACCGAAAGACTAACCAGGAGTTTACTGTAGTAAGGGGGAAGACAGGGTAGTGGCTTTGACCAGTATGGTGGAGGACGGTACTGGTGAGGAATGGTGGGATTTGTGTGTATTTCAAAGGTGACACCGATGGGCTTTGCTGGCGTCAGGTGTGGGGAGAAAATGGAGAAAACTTTGGCCTGATCAGTAGAAGAGTTAACTGAGAAGGGAAAGACTGTAGATGGAAGAGGCTGGAGGGGGACACTAGGTTCCCCTCAGGTCAGTTGGAGAAGCCTGTCCGACGTACAAGGGGAGACATGCAGGGATTCTTGCGTGTATATGGGAGTTTGATGGGTGGGGAAGAGGTCTGGACCAGAGACGTGAATTGGGTGTTACCAGCGTCTGAGGGGCATTTAAGCCATGGGACTGAGAGGAGATGACCAGACAGTGAGGAGCCTGAGGGCTGAGCCTTGCCTCCTGGTCTGCGAAAACTGCCCCCACTTTGATTTAGCCTCAATTTCTCCACAGTGGTGATGGTAGATGGCTGAAACTTGGTCTTTCTCAAAGCTCACCTACTAGGGTTCTCTTTTCACAGGCCAAAGCTGTCTTGAAGTTCATTGAGGGGATCTCTGAAAAGACCCTGAGGAGTACTGTTGCCCTCACGGCTGCCCGAGGAAGGGGGAAGTCTGCAGCCCTGGGACTGGCTATTGCTGGGGCTGTGGCTTTTGGGTAAGGAAGTCTGACTCCCTCTCTTTGGGAATTCTGAGGGAGAAGTGTGCAGGATAGGGGTCAGGGGACCAAGAGACTGTTCCTGGGTCTGTGCAGACTCCTGTGTGATTTCTCTAGGTTGTGGGTTCCTGTCTAGAAACAGCAATGCCGTTTCTCCCAAACACGCCCACTCTCAGCCCCTTGGGGTGCATATATGTGTGCAGGCACACACGGACATGTGCACCAGGACCTTTGTGATCACTATTTAAAGTTGAACAGATACAGAAAGTTGGACAGACATAGAAAAGCAAAGAAATGGGAATAAGAAACTTTACAAATCTTCAGGAAATGGGAATGTGTATGACCATGTTTGACTGCGAAAAATACAGGTTTGACATTTTAATGATTTTGATCAGTAGAACATCTTGTTTGCTTTTGAGGAGCTGCATTTGAGTGTTCCTTTGTCCTGGGTGGAAGATTTATGCAGTTGCCTAAAGAGAGTATACTTCCAACGTCGCAGTCAAGAAATAATGGATCTAGAATTTACCATGTCCTCATTTGCATTATCTTCTTTGGTGCTCCTAATAGCTCCGTAGACATTTCACAGATGGATCACCCTAGGCTCAGGGAGTTTCAAGGACTCGCTCAGTCAGGATCCCCCAGCAATTCAGTGCTGGTAGTGTTGGGGCCTAGCCCAGCCCCTGACTTGTCTCTTGTTCCTGCTTCAGTGTTACCAATCCACGCGTTAACCATTAGCACCCTTTACACGGAACAGGGTCCCCTGCAGGTTTGCTGTGACCTTGGCCTGAGCACCGACGGAGCTGTCCGGCCTCACGGTTCGAAACTCTCTCAGCACAGCCAGTGATGACTGTGAAGCCACCCTCTTGTCCCAGGACATAGGCTTGGGAAGCAGCGTGCCGGCTCTGCACGCTGAGGGGGTTGTGTCCAGGCACCTCTCGGCAGTGTGCCTTCACAGGCAATGCCGTGCTGCCTTCGAGTTGTTAATGTTTTTTCATTAGTTTGAGAGGAAAAATATATTAAACTCTGGAGTCGCTTTACTTTTCTTCCCTAAAAAGTGTTGTGACTTTTTTCCTGCCATTATCTCTGGCTATCACCTGTGTGACAGTGCAAACAAAACTCTCTTTTTTCCTCTTAATGTTCCCTGAAAGTCCTTTGGATTTCCTCATTACTTACAGAAATTCTCTTTTTTTGTTCAATAGGTACTCCAATATCTTTGTTACCTCCCCAAGCCCTGATAACCTCCACACTCTGTTTGAATTTGTATTTAAAGGATTTGACGCTCTGCAGTATCAGGTAGGGAATTAAAATAAGAACTCCCTTTGATTCAGAGCTGGGTTTAATCTAGGTGAAATCTTTGGAATGCCTGCTTGCTTCAGTTTTCTAAAGCTTGTTTCTCAAGTTTGTTATTGGTTTGACTCTCTTTCCATCAGGAGCATCTGGATTATGAGATCATTCAGTCTCTCAATCCTGAGTTTAACAAAGCAGTGATCAGAGTGAATGTGTTCCGAGAACACAGGCAGACCATTCAGGTGAGGCTCATTCTAAAACCCTGCTAAGTGGGGATGGTGTCCTGCTGTTTTTAAATACAGTAATTTCACATCGTTTTATGTCCTGTGTAATTCCATGTCTTGTATACAGCGTTGTTGTTTTATGGTAAACCTGATCCAGATTTGTAGCCTCTTCTCAAGGAAGACATTCAAGCAAACTAACAAATAGTATATGTAGCCAGATTGGCATTTATCCCTTGAAAATTGAGTAAGTGTGATTGTGAGTATGCTAATCAGCTAGAAGAAATATAGTCACTGTTCTGACATCAGTTCTCATTTTGCTGAGTTACAGCAGGTTTTGAAATGGTGCATCTGTAACTAGAACAATAATCTCTCCATTTAAAAGAAAAAAAGAACCTTGCAAGATGTACTCTGAATCTTTGTGGTTTAGCCAGTGGCCTATTTTCCTTTTTAAACAGTGTTTCCCTGAAAGCTCTATAAATCTCGTGCTCTGGAGGCCTGAATGACCTGCAGTTGTCCAAAGGCTGCAATTTTGTTCAGTTGTAGAAAAGCATCAGTGTGACAGGCTTGCAGAAAGGATGGAGGCCCCTGGGCTCCTAGTGGAGGAGGCTCATCGATTATTTTCAGAGTTGGGTTGGGGTGGGAAGTGGGCCAGGTAAACTTGGCAGTTTATGTATGTCTTTGACCTTTATGCTTGTTAAGGCATCTGTATATGCCTGTCAGGGACGTATTTCTTTTTTTAAAGGTCCAGATTGTAAATAATGGTAAGTGTTTATATTTTTTACCTAAGGAGCTTAACTTTTTTCTTAGTAGGTCTTTTTCTAGAATCTCTTCATTCTTTAGTTTCTTCTACTTTTGCTTGATGCCCTCGGCTAAGGTCAGGGGTACAGATGGCTGGGTAGGGTGAGGTGGAGGGTAGGTGGCCGTGAGGAGAGCGCGGAGGCCTGTTAAAACTCAAGACAAGTACACAAACCAAAGAAGGAAAACCTTTCTCTGAAATGCCCAGGCTCAGCCCTGCTGCTCCTTGGATTTGTAATCAGAGACCGCTTGTATTGCCAGAGTCCCTTTGTTTCCAGACTGGAGTTTAAGCACACAAGAGGTGACCTGACTTTATGAGGTCCCATTTGTGTCCCTTGGAAGCCTCCTCCTTGCTGGAAATTGAGAAAAAGACCAACGTTAGATTAAAGTCGGCTCTGCCTCTCCAGGGGGTTGCTTTCTGCTGCTTTTTATTTAAAAAAATTTTTTTCTTAATGTTTTATTTATTTTTGAGAGAGAGAGAGAGACACAGCGTGAACAGGGGAGGGTCAGAGAGAGAGGGAGATACAGAATCCGAAGACAGGCTCCAGACTCTGAGCTAGCTGTCAGCACAGAGCCCGACGCAGGGCTCAAACCCACGAACTGTGGGATTGTGACCTGAGCCAAAGTCAGACACTTAGCCGACTGAGCTACCCAGGCACCCCTCTGCTGCTTTTATGAGGTGCTTGTTTAGTTTTTCCCCTTAGGAGTCCCATGTCGTGGGGCCCAGCGAGGTGTGTCCTGCTGTTTGAATGAGGGGAGTCGCTCTCTCCCTGACCCATCCTTCAGCTTCCAACAAAGCAATTAGATGATCTTGTAGTGAAATACTTCAGAAAAGTATAAAGATAATGGAACACTCAGGTATCCGGCACTTAAGCCTCAGAAATGTTGACACTTTGTTGTTTGCTATGTTTCTTTCATGTTGTAAAAGTCCTTTTTGTTTTTGTTTTAAAGACCGAAAGCATCACAGACACAGTTGAAGCCCCTTTTGTACCCCTCCCTATCGCACTCCTTCCTGCCCCTCCCCATAGGTAACCCTACTCTGGATTGATGTTTCCTTCTGATTCACATGTTTGTGTTTTACTATGTAATTATGCCTCCATAAATGCTTGTCCTTTTTCAGCTTGCCTTTGTTACTCAGCATTTGTTTTTAAGATTTGTCCAGATTGAAGCTTGTGGCTTGGGTTGAGTTTAAGCACTGCATGTTTATATTACCATTTATTTATGTTTCTCGGGGTGGATGAGGGGAACTACTGGGTTTAGAGTATGAATAGATTTCCAGCTTTCTTGGATTTTGCCAAATTCTCCTTATAAAAAGTGTACCTGTTTACCTTCCCAACAGCATTTTTTTTTTTTTTTTTTTAAATTTTGTTTCTTCAAGTTCTCATCACCACTGGGTGTTTTATCGCTATTTAATTTTTACTTGCCTGTACGTGAAATGGGATCTGCTTGTTGTCTTTGGCATTGTACTGACTACTAGTGAGGTTTAGTGTCTTTGTTTATGTTAATTGGCTGTTCAGGTTTCCTTTTCTGTAAAATCCCTCTTCGTGGCCTTGAGCAAACTTTAAAAATAGCAGGAAGCCCTGAAGAAACTGAAGGGGTGGTTAGTATGCATAAAGGTGCCAAACTTTTTATATCATCAGGTGGCTATGCTAATACTATAAATAAGGGTGTTGTGTGAGTGTGTGTTAGGAAGGGATAGTGTCTTAGAAGTGTCCTCACCAGTGCGGGGAGAGTTGGCTTTCATAATGGCAGTATCCAGGTAAAGAGTGTGGTATCCAGTGTGTAGCAGGTGCATGAGAAAGGGACATCATCCCATTTGCCGCCCCTGGGGCAAGACCAGAGCCAGCCTGGGGGGAAGCATGAGGAGACAGAAAAGAGAAAGGAGAGGGAGTACCACCTGTCAGTACTGGGCCAGGCACCAGCCAGGGCATTTTTCTAGATTTGCCCGATTTTTCTGTCAAGCAGCTATCAGATAGGTGTTTCCTCCACTTTCCAGGAGAGGGGTCTGAGGCTGTGAGCATAAGTGATCTGTCCAGTGGCACACAGTCAGTGGTTGAACTTTCGAACCCAGGTGTCTGGCTCCAAACTCATTCTGGTTTGCTCTGCCACGGGAAGGTGGAAAGGAGAAATGAGAGAAAGAAGAACTGGGAAAGGGGTGAGAGAGGGCAGAGTGGCTTTTATGAGGCGTCATGGGGACCGCAGCTGTGGCACCGGGTGGCCAGGTAGTAATAGAAATCTTCCTCCCCACAGTATATACATCCTGCAGATGCTGTGAAACTAGGCCAGGCTGAGCTCGTTGTGATTGATGAAGCCGCCGCCATCCCCCTGCCTCTGGTGAAAAGCCTCCTGGGCCCCTACCTTGTGTTCATGGCATCCACCATCAACGGGTAAGCACCTCGAGTGGGAGTCCTTGCTCCCGTTGTCGGTTCTTGCTTGTCAGCGGCATGAGTAGTGAGCGTGCATGGTTCAGGGCAAGTCAGCCCGCTCCCGGAAGTTGAGTCCTGGGAGCTGCTCCAGCCCCTCCTGGGGCTTCTGCACATTGGAGCCAGTCCCTCGTTACTGAACGTAGCTCATCTCTGGTCTGACAGTGAATGGGCGGCACAAGACCGAAGGATTTCATAACCCAGGTGATGACGGTCTCATTCTGCGTGGAGGCCTGATTAAATTTTAGAGAGTTCACAGCAGTACTAATGTCACGTATCTTAGAGTGGTGTGAAAATTCGGTGCTAAAGTAGCTGTCAACTTAGTGTAAGGAAGCAGTCTTATAATGGCTGAAGAGATTTCTTTAGATACTCAAAATATTTAGTTCTTGCTTGTAGAACCATTAGAAAAAATAGCTAAGCCCCAAAAAAGTTGCTGGTAATATGACCACCTAGAGATGGCTTTTTTTATGAGAGACTGAGAGCAAGAGTTGGGGAGGGGCAGAGGGAAAGGGAAAGAGAATCTTAAGCAAGCTCCACGCCCAGCCCAGTGTGAGATCATGACCTGAGCTAAAAATCAGGAGTCAGACGCTTAATCGACTGCCGACTGAGCCATCCGGGCGGCCCTAGAAGTAGTTTTGTTTTGTATTTTGTATGCATTTATTTTACTTTTTTATTCCGAACAAGAATTTACATATTGCTTTTAATTTTTTTTTTAATATAGCGATATCCTGTCAAATCTTTCCAGGTCAATAAGTATATATCTTTAGTATTGGAAAGGTTTCTGTGTGGAGATCGATCGCATCTTCTTACAGAGATAATTCTGTATTACAGATTTATGATTGTGTTTTCTTATACTGAAAATATTTAAATAAAGTGGATTTTGTTTTTTTGCTAATAGCTTTATTGAGGTATAATTCATATACCATACGGTTTACCCACATCAAGCGTATAATTTGGTGATTTTTAGTGTCTGTGCAGAGTTTAACCAGCACCACAGTCAGTTTTACATTTTCATCACTCCCAGAAGAAAAACCATACCCTTTACCCCTCACCCTCCAGTCCGTCCCCAGCCCCCTGCCTTAGGGAACTACTAGTCTGACTTCTATCTGCATGGATTTGTCCATTCTAGATGCTCAGGTAAATGGTGCCATTACAGTATAGGGACTTTTGTGACTGGCTTCTTTCACTTACTGTAATGTTTTCAAGGTTTATTAGTGTATCTTTTATTGGTATTTCCTTCCTTTTTATGGGCAAATAATATCCCATTATATGTTTATACACATTTTATTCACACATTCATGTGTTGACAGACATTTGGATTATTTCTATCTTTCGTATGTTAGGAATAATGCTTCTGTGAACGTTGGTGTACATATAGGTTATCTGTGTGGACATGTTTTCAGTGCTCTTGGGTAGATACCTAGGAGTGGAATTACTGGGTTAGATAGTAACTTTATGTTGAACTGCTCCAGGAACCAGCAGACTGTGTTTTCCAAAGCAGCTGCACCATTTTAAATGCCCACCCACAGTGTATAAGGGTTCCAAGTTTTCCATATCCTTGCTGGCATGTGTGTTATGTCTTTGATTATAGCCGTCCTCGTGAATGTGAAGTTGCGTCTCGTTATGGTCTTCATTTGCATTTCCCTGATGGCTGGTGATGTGGGGCATCTTATCATGTGCTTCTTTGCCATTTGTGTATCTTCTCTGGAGAAATAGCTATTCAGATCCTCTGCTCAATTTTCTATTTGGCTTATTTGTCTCTTTATTAAGGAGTTGTAAGGGTTCCTTATATATTCCAGGTACAAATACCTTATCAGATGCTTGATTTACAAACATTTTCTTCTATTCTGTTTTTTTTCTCCACTTTCTTGATAATGTCCTTTGAAGCATAAAAGTCTGTTTTGTTGCTTGTGCTTACTTGTTTTTCTTCTTTTTTAAATAAGCAAATGGAGTTCCTTCAAAAAAGCTTTGTTCTGTGAGGTGGGGCAGGAGAATAAAGTACTCAAAAATTCCAAGTTTTTGATCATTCTTTAAATATAGTATTTAAGTAAGAGGAAGTATTTATACAATTCTTAAAATATTATCACAGTGAGTACTATGAAGCGATGCAATACTGGATTAAATAGAAGACCTGGGTGCCTGGGTGGCTAAGTCAGTTAAGCCTATGATTCTTGATCTCAGCTCAGGTCTTGATCTCAGCTCAGGTCTTGATCTCATGGTTGTGAGCTCAAGCCCCACATTGGGCTCCGCACTGGACATGAAGCTTACTTTAAAAAAACAAACCTACTGAGCCATCTGCCTCCTGCGGTCACTGGGGCTATGCTAAAGGAAGAAATCCAAATGAGACGAGCTGGCTCAGTGATCGTTTCTTTTTTTTCTTCTTTTTTTTAATGTTTATTTTTGAGAGAGAGAGCACATGCAGGGCAGGGGCAGAGAGAGAGGGAGACACAGAATCCGAAGCAGGCTCCATGCTGTGAGCTGTCAGCACAGAGCCCGATGTGGGGCTCAAACCCATGAACCATGGGATCATGACCTGAGCCGAAGTCGGTCAGTACTCAACTGACTGAGGCATCCAGGCGCCCCTACTGATGATTTCTTTTTTTCCAAATTTCTTGTTAGTTGTTTTATGTTACGTTTGCAATGAAAGTAGTGATGAAAGGAATTACCAAGTGTGGTGGTTTGTTGGTTTATTCAGTATTGATGTTCCAAACTGGAAGTGCTCTCTGCCTTTCTTCAAGCATGCTACTTCTGTAGTTCTCAATCATGGACCATTTAATGGCATTCCACTTCATTATGCTTTATACATCATCTTTCCAGTCCTTTCAGTTCACAGCATGGTCCTGTGAGGTGTGTAGAATAATCCCCTTTTGAGGATGAGTGGTGAGTTCCTTGCTCAGAGGTACTAAGTAAATGTGCCAGACTTAAGTCCAGGTGCTGCCACTGTGCTGGCCGCCTTGTCTGCTTGGGCGTATGGGTGCCCTGCTGGAAGTCTACAGGGTAGCAGGGCTGTTGGCAGTGAGCGGGAGCATGGGGTTTCAGCAGGATCAGGGAGGTGGTTCTCTGTCCTCTCATAGAGAGTAGGTTTGGAAACTCATTTGTGCCTTATGGCCTTTGCTTTGGCTCCTAGCTACGAGGGCACTGGCCGGTCCCTGTCCCTCAAGCTGATTCAGCAGCTCCGTCAACAGAGCGCCCAAAGCCAGATCAGTACCACTGCTGAGAACAAGGCCACAGCGACAGCCAGACTGGCATCAGGTACCCCCAGAGCTCTGAATGGGCCCGTCCATGGCAGGTCCCTGCAGATTCTCTTGCCAGATCATCTCCTTATGCCACCATGGGTGGTACACAACTGTCCTAGCATCAGGCACCCAGGCTGGGTCCCCAGGATGGGGAGTTGCTTTCCCCAAGGAGCAGCAAGCCAGTGACCAGATGGGAGCCTGACACAAGCCTTCTGGGCTGGGCCCTTGTTTGTTACTGCCTTAGGGCACAGTCACATTGACTTAGACCTCTGTGGGATCAGTGTCATGGCAAATTGAACATCCCCCAGAACAGTTTAAAACCGCTCAGTTAAAAAATTTAAGCCGTATATATGGGCCTCACATGATAAAAAGAAAGTAGAACATTTGCCTTGCTCTTTTAGACAAAATACATTTAATAATTATTTCTCATCGTGTCTGTGTGTGTGTGTGTGTGTTTTGTGGGGAGCAGCGCGAACGCTGCATGAGGTCTCCCTGCAGGAGTCCATCCGATATGCCCCGGGGGACGCGGTGGAGCAGTGGCTGAACGACTTGCTGTGCCTGGATTGCCTCAACATCCCCCGGATCATCTCAGGCTGCCCCCTGCCTGAGGCCTGCGAGCTGTATCCTCCCTGGTGTGCTGTGCCCTGTGAGGGGAGAGGAGGCGATGGAAGAATTAGGCTTTGGCCCTTTGTTTCATAGGCTGCTGCTCTAAGGACAGGAGAAAGTTAAACATTCTTCATTTCCTTTCTCTTCCCTCCCCAGTGTGTTCTGTACAGGACACAGGGCTCTTCCTTCTAATCTGACGGAAATCTACATATCCAGGTTCCCTTCGGAAGCAGTGTGTCCTGTTTTGGGTTCTCTTTGTTTTGTTTGCTTAACTCCAGACCCAGCTACTACGTTAACAGAGATACCCTCTTTTGCTACCACAAGGCCTCTGAAGTTTTCCTCCAAAGGCTTATGGCCCTCTATGTGGCTTCTCACTACAAGGTAACTGCAGCTAGCTGAAGGAGGTGCACTTCAGCTCTGATGACAGTCCTCCTTTACCTGGCTTTTCTTTTTTTCTTTTTGTTAATTTTTTTAATGTTTTATTTATTTCTGAGAGAGAGACAGCATGAGCAGGGGAGGGTCAGAGAGAGAGGGAGATACAGAATCAGAAACATGCTCCAGGCTCTGAGCTAGCTGTCAGCACAGAGCCCATCATGGGGCTCAAACTTACGAACTGTGAGATCGTGACCTGAGCCGAAGTCGGACACTTAACTGACTGAGCCACCCAGGCACCCCTGGCTTTTCATATCTTATATTTCCCAGTAGCTCAGGTGATCATTTTCCTGGGACCTAAATGTCCTGATGTCAAGGTCCACTGACCTTGCTGGAGGGTTGCCTTTCCCATTGTTATTCAGACCTATCTTGGGCTTCTAGCTTTGCATACAGCATGTGGAAAACCGGCATGTAACTCCATGCTTGGTAGGTGGGGAGGTTGGAAAGCTTTGCCTATTTTAAAACGGGTTCTTCTGTTTCTCACTTGTCTGCTGAATAGATAGGTTCAGATGACGTAGTGGCTGTTAACTGGTCGTGCTGACTGACGGAGACCAGCCTTTTACCTCTGGGCTATTTTTAAACCTTTGTTTTTGAGAGAGAGAGAGCACGTGCGAGCGAGCAAGCGAGCCTGCAAGCGTGCATGCGTTTGAGTGCCTGCATGCAAGTGGGAGAGGGGCAGAGAGAGGGCGACAAAGCATCCAAAGCAGGCTCTGTGCTGATAGCAGAGAGCCTGATGTGGGGCTGGAACTCACAAATCGTGGCATCATGTCCTGAGCCGAAGTTGGACACTTAGCCAACTGAGTTGCCCAGGTGTCCTCTCCACTCCAGGCTATTCTTAAGGAGCACTGGATGAGAATTTAGAATATTTGAAAGTCTTCAAGACTAAAGGGCACATTGGGAGGGACGCTTCTTGAGTGTCTAGGTAGCATTTTTGTGAAGTCCCATTAACAGGAGGCTGAAGAGGTGGTGCTAGAAGTGGTGACAGGTTTTCTTGAAATAGCCTCTTTGGGAAGTGAGAAGTTCAGTCCCCAGCTGTGAACTGCGCGGGGCTAACTAGGCAGTCCTCTGCCCTCTGCCGCCTCAGTGCTCATGGAGAGATGACAGCAGACATTTGAGGCAAAGTCCCACATAGGCCATTTCGGAGGGTCTGAGGCTGGCGGCCAAGATACTGGAAAAGCACTTTGCCAGGTTTCAGCTCGCCACTTGGCTTTGGGGAAGGAGATACGGCAGTCAGCCAGGACTCCAGAGTGGCCTCGAGTAAATAACAAGAGAAGTGGTTCTCATGGACTTGTATTTGTGCCCCTACAGAACTCCCCCAACGATCTCCAGATGCTTTCTGATGCGCCTGCCCACCTTCTGTTCTGCCTCCTGCCCCCTGTGCCCCCCACCCAGAATGCCCTTCCTGAAGTGCTTGCTGTCATGCAGGTATGGTGGCATTCATTTGGGGAACCACCTAGGAATCAAGGGTTAATGGCTCAGTAACCGTGGCTTGGGAGGGGAAGTGTTGATCCCCAGGGTGGAGCCAAGCAGCTGGGTGATCGAGGCAGACAGGGTGTGTGGAAGGGAACCACTACCGACAGAAACCTAGAGCCCCGCTGATGGTGAACAGGTGAAAGTCGGAACTGGCCACTCGTGTTTTGATTTACGGCTCCTCCTAAAACAGAATTTGTTTTCCTCCTTTATTACAAAACAACACATGTAATTCTACAGTTAGAAAATGCAGATTGGTGGAGTGGGATCATAGTGTTGGTAGTCTGGGCTTTTTTTTTTTTTTTTGCAGCATGTCAACTATTCATAATCTCTGTAGTTTTAATTTTTTTCATAATTTATAGTTTTTGAAGGTTTTAAAGGCTGCATTGTGATTATGCACGTACCATACTGTGTATAGCCATTCTCCTTTTAGACACTAGAGTCATTGTGAATTTGCACTATTTCGTATAGAGCTGCATGAGCGTCCTGTGTCTTAGTTGATGCTTGCACATGCTCACCGGGTATGGAGACCTTCTTGTAGCGTAGTTTTTGTGCTTTGAGCCTGGAGTTTGTCTGTATTCTGCCTTGTAAGGACGGTGTCCGGATGCTCCTGGGGCATAGTCGTGACACTACCACTGAGAATGGAAATCAGTTACAGGGTTAAGCCTGAGCTGTGGTGGAAACAGCTGGCCTCATCGGGGAGCCAGCAGGAGCTGATGATCTGCAGGTGGGCTCTGTGCCTGGAGCTGTGTCTGCACTGTTCCGCTCCCCCCACAGGTGTGCCTGGAGGGGGAGATTTCTCGCCAGTCCATCTTGAACAGTCTGTCTCGAGGCAAGAAGGCTTCAGGGGACCTGATTCCATGGACCGTGTCCGAACAGGTGCTGCACTTTCCCTGGTACGGCTGAGTGAGTGAAGCCGGCAGGGTCGAAGGGGGTTTTTGTTGCTCACGTGCCGGCCTGTGTCTCCCACACAGTTCCAAGACCCAGACTTTGGCGGCCTTTCAGGTGGAAGGGTTGTTCGCATTGCTGTTCACCCGGATTATCAAGGGGTAACGTGTCCTCCTACCTCTCAAACTCATGGTGCTTTCTCAGCTGCAGCCGCATTGCTGGCAGCTTGGTAGGCAGGCAGACCTGGTGGTAGGAATGGTCTGGGAATAAGCACTTCCAGGTGCTCCTCTGTCCTGGACAGTTTCCCTGGGGCTAGGCAAGTGGGCAGCATGATTGCATATGCCTGCTCTTCTTTTGTGAGGCTAGGGCTCTTGTGAACCTGACCTACTTTTCACAGTTACCTCCTGTCCCTTAGAAATCCCCACTGGGGAGTTAGTTGTGGAGACGTCAGTTTGGGGCTTGCTGGTCTGTGGATCAGAAAGCCCAGCCAGCCACCCTCACGCTCAGGCTAGATGGCTGAGAGTGAGGGTTATAGTATGCTCGCTCTTAAGGGTCTCTGTTCTGACCATTTTGAGGGATTTCATTAGTTCTCTTTGCCAAGTATAGTGTGACTTGGAGTGAAGGCTTTCTGGAAGCAATACAGGGGCATAGAGGTGGTTTAGATCGATTGAGAGCATTCTCTTCCTTCTGCCTATCTCCCTCCATGTTTGCTCACAGATGGGCTACGGCAGCCGAGCTCTGCAGCTGCTGCAGATGTACTTTGAGGGCAGATTCCCTTGTCTTGAGGAAAGGGTCCTTGAGACGTCACAAGAAATTCACACCGTCAGCAGTGAGGTAAGCGTCTTTCGGCTGAACTCCTTGTTCCTGGGAGGCTGGTTCTCAGGAGCATCAAGAACTGTCCAGTGGTCCGGGCTGTCTGAGCACGGGCAGATTTCCTCCTGTCTCGGAGAAGCTCTTGCCGTCTCCAGCTGGCACTGGAGTTGAGAGCCTTGGATGAGCATCATCAGTATCACCTGGAAACCTATTTTAGAAATGCTGGTTTTTAAGCCCTGGCCCAGGCCCGCTGAATGAGAGGGTCAGGAGTGGGGCCCGGCGGCCCATGTCTTAGCTCCTGGGTGATGCTGGCGCCTGCTTCAGCTTGCAGCCTCCAGGCACCGAGCCCCAAGCCTGGTCTACGGGAAGTCGTGTCTTTCTCGGTGAGGTGCTAAACACCAGGAGCTGTGATGGCTTCTCTCGCACATTCACTTGATTTTCACAGTAGCCTCTTGGGGAGGTGGGGAAGGGGCTTATATTTAATGTCCGGGTCAGAGGTTCATCACTTCCCAAGTCACAGACCCATCTGGTGACAGAACTGTACCCTCAGAACCCTATCTCTATCTCTTTTTAAATTGTGTGGCTATTTCCCTAAATTCTGGGTTTGGAGCAGTGTGGTTGCCTGCATGTGCAGGTGGTATACCTGGGACTGATCACTGGACTGAGTGCTGTGCCTGTTTTTTAAAACCCAGGAACAGAGAAATGTGTCCCAGGTTTTACCACGTTTAGGACAAAGCCTGTATGGTAGGGGTGCTTGGGAATGCTGCTAAGCTTCCTCTCCCTTGGCTGGGTGGACCGTGCTCTCTTCCTGGCGTCCTTTAGGCTGTCAGCTTGTTGGAAGAAGTCGTCACTCCCCGGAAGGACCTGCCTCCCTTACTCCTCAAACTGAATGAGAGGCCTGCCGAGCGCTTGGACTACCTGGGTGTGTCCTATGGCTTGACCCCCAGGCTCCTCAAGTAAGCGTTTGCCTGCTCTTTCTCTTTCACATCACCCCGTGGCCTTGGTGTCCTGAGAATGAACATTCTGTGGACTGTGTTTGCCTTTCCAGCTGGTGTGTGTGTCAGCCTCCTGGTGACCACTGCCCTACCCCTGCCCCCTGCCCAGCCCTTCCCATCTTTATCTGCCAGCCATTCTCAGAAAGTGCACACAGTGACCTGCTCTTCTTGTTATCTTTGCAGGTTCTGGAAGCGAGCTGGGTTTGTTCCTGTTTATCTGAGACAGACCCCGGTGAGTGAGGCCGAGGAGGGGTGTGGGTTTGCAGTTAGAGTTGGTGACAGGTCTGTCCTTATGTAGAGCCCTGGTGCTCTTGCTATGCTCTGAGCATGTGTGCCCCTGCCTCCAAGAGGTTTGTTCTGACGGACACTGAAACAGCCACCACCACTGAAAGGCCACACGGTCACACACTTCACTCCCCCACTGTGCAGTACACGCGTGGTGTGTACCTGGCTTTGTGCTTGATTATAAAGTGGCAGAAGTGCAGGGTGCCTGGGTGGCTTAGTCGGTTAAGCATCCGACTTTCGCTTAGGTCATGATCTCGCGGTTCATGGGTTTGAGCCCCACGTCGGGCTCTGTGCTGACTACCAGCTCAGAGCCTGGAGCCTGTTTCAGTCTGTGACTCCCTCTCTCTCTGACCCTCCCCTGCTCACGCTGTCTCTCTCTCTCTCCTAGAAATAAATAAAACATTAAAAAAAAAAAGTGGCAGAAGTGCAAGTGGTCTTGTTCATCAAATTCTGGAATCCTGAACCCTGGGGACCTCCTGGAATTTGTAAAACGTGAAATGGTGTTTTTAGGAGAGGGTTACAGATGGGCAGCCTCAGGGATCTGAGGGAGGGATGTGACTACATGGATGACAGGGCCATGGAGGATTATTATGGAAGGGACAGAGTTACTGGGAGTTCATGAAAAAAAAATTTAGCACCTTCAGTGAGTAAGGTGAGCCACAAAGCTTATTTTCTATGAGTAGAATTAGGCAATCGGAAAGTGAAGTCATGAGAAGTTTTTTAGATCATGCTATGTGCCATGAAGAAAAACACTGAAATTGTAGTGTGCTGAGTGGTCAGGCTTCTGAGGGGTGGCCTTTCACACTGGACCCTGAACATAGTGGACTATCCACACGGACGGTCCTGGAGAAAAACGTGTTTCTAAGTTTATTATTTTTTTTTTAATTTAGAGAGCATGCGAACAAGTGGGGGAGGGGCAGAGAGAGAGGGGAGAGAATCCCAAGCAGGCTCTGTGCTGTCAGTGCAGAGCCCGATGTGGGGCTTGATCTCATGAACTGTGAGATCATGACCTGTGCTGAGGTGCTGAGGTCAAGAGCTGGACGCTTAACTGACCGAGCCACCCAGGTGCCCTGAAAAAGATGTTTCTTGTTTCTAAGCAACAAGCACAGAGCCTGAGGTGGACGTGAATTGGTGATTTGAAAGTGACAAAAGGAGGTTGGCGTGGGTCATTGGGTTTTCTTCCTGTCCAGTGGGAGGAAGGTGTTCAGGAGCTATGGCTGCTGTGCAGACAGTGGATGGTGGTGGCCCAAGAGTGGAGGCGGGGAGGTGGGTGGGTGTGAGATGGGGTGTGGGCTGAGGAGGAAGCACTGAAGATGGGGAAACATGGCCAAGGCATGTTTCAGGGTCACACTGACTAGGACTGAAGGATTGGATTGCAAGATGAGTGAACCAAAAGAATTGAGGACAGTTCTTAGGTTTTTGGTTGAAAGTTGGTAAAAACTGGGAGATGGAGGTGTTATTTGCCAAGAAGAGCCACCGGGGGAGGGACAGGTCTGGAGGTGACAGTGGGAATGCCCTGGGACAGTGGGAGATGCTTGTCAGACCCTGGATGGGGATGGAGACGAGCAGTGGCCTGCAGGAGGTTGGGGCTGGAGATGGACACTTGGGAGTGTGTTCTCAAGAGAATATACTCCCTGGGGTCAAGGACTTTGTTTTCTTCACAGCTGTAACTTAATAGCATCTGCTACTAACTGTGGTATCGTGTTCAGTAAGTACTTTGCAGTGATTGAGTACATTTTAAAAGCTGTTGAAAGCTGGGACTGAAAGTTAACTGAGGGTGCGTCCTGGACTGTCCAGCGTTCAGAGGAATGAGTTGGGAGATGCAGGAGTGGCCTTGAAGTGTAGGAGGAAGTTGGGGAGCGTGTTAGAAGCCAGGATTAACCAGTGTTTCAAGAAAGGGAAGCAGTGGCTTTCGGAGAGCAGGTAAGCTGAGGACACATACATGGTCAATGGGCAGTGGTGATGAGAAGGAAGGCAGCTCCTGGAGAGCTGAGGGATCATCCTACTTGGAGAGAAGGGGAAGTGAGGAAATAGATGATTCACATGGGAAGTAAAAGGGGCAGAGAAACAAGGTAGCTGCAGGGAAACTGGCATTAAGGGGAGTTTATCGGGTGGGAGATTCTAGAACATGTTTGCTGCAGGGTATGATTCTGTAGAGATCACACAAATAGTACAGGTGACAGGGGCTGATTGCAGGCCTCGAGGCAGGGGGAGTAGCATCCCGGTTACAGGGGGAGAGGTGGCCACCTCACCCTTCATGGCAAAAGGGAATGCAGAGAGTTTGGGCACAGGAGGTGTTGGCCAGTTGGTTGGCTTGGTGTTCAGAGGATGAAATTCTGTTTTCCCAGAGAGGGGAAGCTGAGAGAAGGGGTGTTGGAGGTTTGAGTTTTTGGAGGGTGCAATGCCCCCCGTGTCCACGGTCAGTGCCCATTTGAGCATTTAAAGTAGGCCTGGTGAAGACCACTTGGTGTTCAGCTGCTCCTTTTTTTTTTTTTTTTTAATCTTTTATGTTTGAGAGAGACAGAGCATGAGCAGGGGAGGGGCAGAGAGAGAGGGAGACAGACTCCAAAGCAGGCCCCAGGCTCTGAGCTGTCAGCACAGCGCCTGATGCGGGGGTCGAACCCACGAACTGTGAGATCACAACCTGAGCCGAAGTCAGATGCTTAACTGACTGAGCCACCCAGGTGCCCCTTGGCTGCTCCTGTGCAGGCAGAGCAGCTCCCAGGTGGGCTGGGTCCTTGGCAGTGAGTTGGGTTGAGGCTGGGATGTAAATTTGCTGGTCAGCTGCGAGGACTGTGCCGACCATTGAGTTCGGCATGGACCACGTTTATCCCTGTGCTCCTGTGTGGTGCGCCGCCCATTTGTGACATGGTGTGGGTGGATTGTTATATGGATGCTCTTTGATTGAAATCCAGTAGATGTTTCTATGGTGCAGGGTTTCTGGTTGTTCTGTAATAAAAATGTAAAAACCTAAGCTCATTGTTACAGCACCTAAAGAGGCTTACATTTGCAGGCTGGTTGCCAGTGTGGGAACTCTAGGTTTAGGGCAAGGAGTTTTGTTGTAAGTTACCCAGAATGTGTCGACTGGGTCATGTGGGGTTTAAGCTGTAATGATTCTGAGTTCAGAATGCGAGTGGCTCCCTTCCATAGGTCCGGAGCAGACCTTGTACCTCGATGATCTGAACCGCTCCCTGCACTCCCACAGCACCTGCTGGGAAGTCACAGAACAGAGTGGCCTCTGACAGCTGCTGTGTGGGAAGTGGGGCTGTGTGGAGGTGCAGGCAGTGTGTGGGGGGCTCTCCCAGCTGGGAGGAGGGAGAGGCCCGTGGGAGCACTGTGTCTTCCTCCCCTTCAGCAGTGACAGCTGCTTCAGATAAGGGTGTTCTTGGTACCAAGTAGGCATTTGTGTTTCCAGAATGACCTGACTGGAGAACACTCGTGCATCATGCTGAAGACCCTGACCGACGAGGATGAGGCTGACCAGGGAGCCTGGCTCGCAGCCTTTTGGAAAGGTAAATTGGAGTGGAAGGGAGACAGCGAGGTGACAGGCAAGGGGCCCCCAGACCTCTGACCCCGCGCGGTTGTCCTCCACAGACTTCCGGAGGCGGTTCCTAGCCCTGCTATCTTACCAGTTCAGCACCTTCTCTCCTGCCCTGGCTCTGAACATCATTCAGAACAGGAACATCGGGAAGCTGGCACAGCCAGGTGAGCCGGGAGGGCTGGCGCAGACGGCCAGTGGTGGCCTGACCTCGTGGAGGCAGGAGTGGCACGGTGGTCCAGGAAGAAGGCTGGCTTAAGAATTGAGGGATGGTTCTAGGCCTGCATCTCCCACTGACCCCCCTTCCCGCTGTTGCTCCCAGCTGGCCCTGCTCTCCCTTAGGGGCACCTACGCTCATAATACCTTCCATCTTTGTAATAAGGCTCTGGGTGTCAGATAAGTTCATAGAGCCAGTTAATTGTGGAACTTGTTTTAAATTTTGTGAGCTAGGGTAACCGGCTCAATTCTCAGTCTCAATCCTCATTCATGAATTTGTAGTAAGAATATGTGCTCAACCTTCTGTGACTAACACATGGAAAATGTTTTGGGCATGTAAATTTCTTTGGACTATTTAAAATATTAAAAAGCATAATGGATCATTAGTATTAATAACTAGGTTTTTTTTTGCTGCTGGTTATGTGTGTGTACCTTTTTTCCCACCAATTTATATTTTGATGGAAAAATCTGTTTTTCTCAAACTGGGCAGAGCGTACACACCGTCTGTGAAGCTGGGTCCTGAGAAGTGGCAGAGTGGGGAAGGAATGTTGTGCTCCTCTGACACGGGGGCACCGGAACCTTTCCTTGGTCTGATGTGTTGGGTGCAACTCTGAGCAAGGGTGACATTCCAGCCGTCCCCCCTCCCTGCGTGGCCTGAGGCTGCCTGCCCTTGGCAGGAGAAAGGTCAGGGCTGGCCCGGATGAGGCTTTGTGGAGGAGCAGACGCTAGGCACTACCAGGGGACCGCTGTGTGTTAACCTGGGAACCCCATCAGACCTTGCAAGGGCGTCCGGCTGCTCTGATGTGTGTGGCTCTCTTGCATGTACAGCACTGTCCCGGGCCGAACTGGAAGCCCTCTTCCTCCCCTATGACCTGAAGAGGCTGGAGATGTACTCACGGAACATGGTGGACTATCATCTCATCATGGACCTGATCCCGGCCGTCTCCCGGATGTATTTTCTAAACCAGCTGGGGGACCTGTCGCTGTCCGCAGCCCAGTCAGTAGGTTATCTGTTGCTTGTGTGCTTGGTGTTCCGTTGGCTGCTCTGATGTAATTTTGTGTGTTTAATTCCTTGCGGTTCTGTTAGATGGGTAGTGTTCTCCCTGTTTTACAGGTGGGACACTTGGGCTCTAAAGTTGATTCAGTGCCCGACCACACAGTCAGTGAGAGGAAGAGCTGTGGTTTGAACCCACATTCTTCCCACCTCACCACACTGCCTTCATTCTAACACTGCCTTAGCAGAGGTACAAGGGCACTGTATAATTTAAAATGCAGCTGTGAAGCAGCTGTTAGGATAATCAGTTCAGGGGTTTCAGTAACAGGATGAAAGAGAAGATGCCCAAATAGACCATGCCAGTCGGTATTTTGTACCAGAGAGCCTTGGTCAAAAGAGAGTGACTGGTTCTTGGTGCCATTTTAAAGGGCAAGGGCCTGTCCTGGTGGCCACTCCAGCAGATTTTCCATCTTCCAGGCTCTGCTCTTAGGCATCGGCCTCCAGCACAAGTCTGTGGATCAGCTCGAAAAGGAGATTGAGCTGCCCTCAGGCCAGCTGATGGGACTTTTCAACCGGATCATCCGCAAAGTGGTGAAGGTAATGTCAGCCGAGGGCAGGGTTGTGATCTGTTTCAGGTAACTTAACAAACTCACTCCCTGCCCTAAAACAAATGGATGTTAACATTTGGCCATATTTGTTGCAGATTTTCTCACATGCACACACACGCACGCATGAATCGGGGGCTTCAGCTCTATCTGTAATGTCCCGTGTTTTCTCCCAGGGGCGGCACCACTGTTAGGAATTTGCTATCTTTCCAGTCTGTGTCTTCTACTCTTACCATGAACGTGTGTGCCCTTCACCGCGTGAAGTGTGTGCTGAGTGACAGGGTCCCTGCGGCTGCTCCCTTCGTCAGCTCTCGGCTGTTGTCTTGCAGCTGTTTAACGAAGTGCAGGAGAGGGCCATTGAGGAGCAGATGGCGGCAGTGAAGGACGTGGTTTTGGAGCCCACGATGAAGACCCTCAGTGATGACCTGGTAGGCCCCCGCCGAAGGCTGGCAACTGGGAGCGCACCCGTCGCCCTGTGGGAAGCGCCCTCTGCTGCGGGGTGGGCGGTGCTCCCTGCCTGCACGGGAGCTCGTGCTCTTCCATGTGCCATTCCCCGAGTGTGCGCGTGCAGGCGGTCCGGCGCTGCTGTCCACACTTTTTGTTTGTCCTTTCAGATGTTAGCAAACACATGTTTGATATTCTTTTAGTAAGAGCTGCCTCTGATGGCAGGGAAGGGGGTGAACCAAGGAGAAAGAGCTGTCTGCCGTCACAGTGATATTCTGCCTTCTTTTTCTGTCATTTGTCCTCTGCTTGGCTCTGACCAGCTCTATCTCTGGGGCTTTGACTGCAGGATGAAGCAGCAAAGGAGTTCCAGGAGAAACACAGGAAAGAAGTGGGGAAGCTGAAGAACATGGACCTCTCTCAGTAAGGCCCCTGTGCTGCTCGTGGGGAGTGGGGGCTCCGCCTTGGCTTTGTGGACCCTGGGGACCTGTCTGCAGGCCTCTTCTCGTCCACATCGGGTGCCTGGGCAGCTGTTACACGACACTGTTTTAGAAGCACGAACAGCTAAAACCTCCCTAACTCCCTCTGTGCATATTTTGAGGATTTCCCCTCAGGTCCCCAGGGAGGGGGTGCTTGATGAACATCCACTTTCAGTGGCTGCTTTTCTGTTTGGCTTTTGCATGTGAACTTGATTCAAAAAAAGATTCTGCCTACAAATAAAACAACAAAACAACTTGTTCTGGAACCCTCTGTGGACTAGGACTTCTAGTCCCCCTGAGCTTCAACTATAATGGTGTTGTCTGCTCCATGGGTTGAGATGAATGAAGATTCTAGAATTAGTGGCCTCTGAGCCTCATTGACCTGTAGCCCCCTGGCTGGGTCCTTAGAAATGGTGGTTGGACACAAGAGATGACAGTGCCTAGAGGTCTCCGGGCAGGGTTTTAACCCCACAATTCACAATATCAAAACCTTGACCTTCTGGGGCTGCTGGCTCTGGAGAGGTGAGGTGGGGCGGGGAGGCACGATTCTCGGGCCTGTGGGCACGTGCCTCGAGGTGGGAGTGAGGAAGACCTTAGTGGGGCCGCAGGAGGCTCCCCCTGCTGGACAGTTAGTGAGAGTGTGACTCCTAGCGGGCCGGTGGCCCTCCTCGCTCCCGTGAAGCTCCCTAGTGTGCGAGTGCCCCTTCCCTCTGCCGCTCCCGCTGGCACGGCTGGCTGAGCCTTCGTGGTGGGCCACGTCTGGTGGCAGTGTTGTCACTGTCCTTTCAGCAGTCCCTTCGTCAAGCAGGCTTTGAGGTTTCTCTGTTTTTTTAAAAATTTTTTAGATATATAATCCGAGGGGATGATGAAGAATGGAATGAAGTTCTGAACAAAGCTGGGGAGAACACCTCCATTGTCAGCCTGAAGAGGTAAGGGCCTGACACGTTCCTGGCCTCTCAGCAACTCGAGCGACTTTCATTAGAAAACAGGAAGTTGAAGCCAAAGCTTTGAGGGACAAGTCACTACTCTTTCCTTGAGGGTCGCTCCTTCGGTGTCGTATTTCCTACAGATGAGGCAGGGCCATGGGGCTCGTGTGGGTGTCAGTGCGGTGTCCTGTTCACCGTCACAACGGCGGTGGCTTTGAAGATGAAGTGACCGCGGCTCCAGGGTGTTCAGTAACTTCCCAAAAAGCATCCAGCCAGTAGGAGGCTGAGCTGGGGTCAGGGCCAGGTGTGCCCACTGCCGAGGCTGGAGTTTTACCTGCTGAATTCCCTTTCCTTGAAGCCAGTGGCTCCCTGAGTCTTGGGCTTTAGAGTTCTTTGCATCATAAAATTGAGGGCCCCCAAAGAGCTTTTATTTATGAGGGTTATATCTATCAGTGTTTCCCATGTTAGAAGTAAACTGAGAAATTAAAAAATTCATCCAAAATTAACAATCGTGGACTCATTATGGTTTTGTTGTTTAGAAAAATATTGTTTTTTTGCCCACAAATATCTCAGAGTGGCGTTGTTTTACAAATAACTGCTTTCCAAGTACTGTCTGGGTTAACAGCAAGCAGCTGGCTTATCTGCTCCTGCGCTCATTCTGGTGCCTCCGCACACCTCCCAGCCTCCGGAAGACTGGCCAGCCGGGAGAGTGAGAGGCAAACAGCGTGTTTGTGTTGTTGTGAAAATAGTTTCCCCCTTGAGGCCCACCTGTAAGAGTTGGGTGTCCCAGGAGGCCTTGGACCCTGCTTTGAAAACCTTCCCCTCCAGCTGCTTCTCTGCAGAGGGGGGCATCTGTAGATCATTGGTCCTCAGGCCGGAACCAGTATTGGACTTCCCGGCGAAGAGAACGAGGTTTCCCCTGCCCTGGGCATCTGGAGATGAGCTGCCACAGCAGGTTTGGGGCTAGTGGGGAGGGTGGCTCCCTTGAGAGATTTATTTGGAAAGAAGAAGTCTTGTGACTCTAGGAACTGTAGATCCCAGAAATCGGGTACTCTCTCCTGCAGTCTCTGCGAGTCACGGTGGCGTTTTGAAGATTCCAGCAGTGATGCCAACCTCTGTCCCCGGATGCTCTCCGATGTGGCATGAGGGCTCACTGTGTGCCCTGGTTTCTGGCTTGGACAAGATAGCAGATGCAGCATAGGGCCCGTGATGCCTCCCGTCTTGCGCATGGTGGCTTTGACTGGAACGAAAGGCTGGGACATGTGTGCTGTGGACCCCGCTGGTTCCGCGCTCCTCAGAGCTTGGCTTTTCCTGCTGTTTGGCTGTGTCCCTGCTGGTGAGGAGCTTCCTGCTTTTCACTGGCCTTTGTGGTAGATCTGCTTGAAATTCTCTGAGTCAGTTCTACTCTTCGGGAAAAAAAACACAGATACCTGTCATTATATTCTTTGAGGTCTTGCTTTTCTTTTTTGAGGGGTTATTTCATTCAGGTGATGGTAGTGGTCTGTGGATGGAACTGTTCACTCTCTCCTCATAGGGAGGTGTTTGTTCCCAGGACAAAATGCCACTGGAGAGTATCTTTAACCTGTAAGAGGGAGGGAAGGTGGTAGCCATTTGCTGAATAACTCTGGCACTAAGCTGTCGGTAAGGCCTCCGCTGGCCAGCGATACGTGTAACCTGATTTCCTACTCCTTTCCGTTTCCCTCTCATTTAGGAAAAATAAAATACTACCACACTGGAAAGTATTCTAGAGTGTTCTTGGGAGCATCCTGCTTTGTATTAGAGACTATCTTCGGGGTCATTGGGATACTAGGTCTGCTTTTGAGTGGTGGGAGGGTGGCCTGCTGGTGACGCCTTAGGTGTTTCTCGGGGTCTTGGGAGGGGAGAATGAATAGCACTCCAAGGAGAATGCAGCTTTCAGGTGTTAAGAGAGATTTATTCCTCCAAGAAGGGCCTGGTCGGGGCAGGAACTGGCTGGCGGGCCCCCCCAGCCCAGTGTCTGGCGTGCGGACAGGCCAGGATAGGCCTGCAGAGAACATTTCTGACTCGTGAGCGTTTCAGATGGCGAAAACCCTTTTGCAGGCAAAGCAAAGCAAGCCTGAAGCAGTCTGAAAGGTGTTAAAGATCTGTGCGTATTTTCGTTTTCTCTTTCTACTCCTGGTTTTTTTTTCCTTCTTTCTAGTGACCAGAAAAGGAAGCTGGAAGCCAAACAAGAACCCAAACAGAACAAAAAGTTGAAGAAAAACAGAGACATGAAGAATAAAAAAGATATGAAACTGAAGCGGAAGAAATAGGAGCGTGGGCGTCTGTGGCTGACGCATAGGCAATGACCCCGACTCGCTCAGCCGTCTCCAGCTGGACCCGTGGTGGCCTTGATTGTCAAAAGCAGCGAAGTCCCCATCAGATCTGGAAGCTGGCCACACGTTCAGACTGTGGCTGAGCTTGGCTTAAGGCAGCGTCTCTTCTGCGCGGGTCCGCCTGGAACTGGACGGTTGGGCGAACCTCTGGTGCTGTCGGGGGCCTGCCTCCCTGCCCCCCGCGCACGCCTCTCCCCCACAAGTTCACGCTTTGCCCCGGGCCCAGCTGTCTTGGCTCCCTCTCACCTGCGTGGAAGCCATGCTGGCTCTTGTCCCTTCTCGGACATGAAATGCACAGCCTTCTGGTGATGCTGGGAGGCCCCTGCTGGCGCCCTGGGCCTCTCGTCGTGGCCTAGAGCACTGGGGGCTCTGGTCCGACCACATGGCCGTGGCAGGTCATTGTGCGCTGGGCTGTGCTCTGCGTAACTTCCTCTCCTGGCTCCGCAGGCCTGTTGCCCTGCGTCCTGGGAAAGCCTGAGCTCTTCATTTAGGAAGAATGTGACACTGAGTCCCCAGATCTGTTATTTCATTTATTTGGGAAAAAATGTGCAAGAGCATTTTGCGAGCAGGGGTGAGGAGGGATAGAGAATCTATTTTTAATAAACAATAGGCTAGAGAGACCAAGTGCCTGTGGGTGCTCTTTGAGCCCGCGTGGGTGGGGGTTTCGCCTCTCCCTGTTTTCTCCTGGTGTGTCTCGGCTGCCAGGGAGACTCTGGAAGGAGTTGGTACGGAGGCCAGGGCTCAGCGACCCAGAAGTGGTCGGCACCCCCTGTGCTCACTGTGGTCCCTCCGAGCGACGTGCTGTGCCTCCAGGAAGCCAGCCAGCTGTGCTTTTCCTCCCAGGCTTCTGTCCGGTCATTTGGTCCCTTCTGTTGGGGATGGGAATTGTGTGGTGGCTTCACACATACATTGGTATGTCTGTTTGATGGTGTCTACTTTCTGGTTCCAAATCCAGTCCTGTGTTACTGAAACCTTTTCCTTTAAGGTCTTCTGCTGGTTTCTGAAGCACTGTTCCTTATCTCTGTCACTGAGAGTGAGAAAAGCTCAAGGTGGACGTCCGCTTAGTCATGTTCATGTTCTGATCTGCAGTCTCCCTGTGCCCCACGGTGAGCTGGTGACAGTGCTGCGCAGCTCCCTGGCTGTGTCAGTCTTTTGAGTTTCATGCTCGCTCACCTTTTTATCTGGAAAATTCACTTGGAGGCCTTGGGTACTGATCTTCCTTAGTTTTTCATAGAACTTAAAAAGGATTGCTTTTCCAGGAGTCTAAAGACCCTTTCCTGAGCCCTGATGTGTAATCTAGGTTCCTAGAAGCCAAACACCTGGCAAGGAAGGAAGGGGAACTTCAGAACAAAGAGGATCAAATGCATACCTCCCAGGACTCACCCACAGCAACGAGAGCAAATTCTGCCTGGACCTTGCCTACATAGGTTTAGGGGTCTTTTGTCTCCTGGATCACAGACTTCTGTCCACAGACCCTGTTAGGCCTGAAGGAAAGTTTGCTGAGAGGGGCAATGAGAATTTTTGGTCACTTTTTTTCAGGTGAGTCCCCGAGCCTATCTTTCAAAGAGGATTTTCATAGGAGAGTGACTTAAAAGCAAAGTCAGAGTGTCAAATGGTCAGGGCTGGGTGGTTTCTTAGAATTATGTAGCCATGTCCTTACACGGGTATGGAGGCCCAGGTGGGCCGTGCCCTTGCATGCCATCTCTGGCCGGGAAGCCTGGCCTGTGCTCTGCCCCAGGATGCAGGGAGAGGTGCCGTGAACCCAGACCTCCTGGCTTCAACAGTGCTGTGCCCTGAGCCTCACTGTGACCTTGGGCACACCACTTTCCTCTATTTGCTGTCCAGGTCCACATCTGTGAGTTGCAGGTGGTAATGACTGCTCCCACCTCCTGGGCCATTGTGAGGAGTGAATGGAGCTGAGTGTGAAGAGCAGATAGCGGGGCCTGGCGTATGGCAAGTGCTCGAGAAGTCTCTGGGTTGTGTGGCTGCGACTGCATAACTAGGGGACCTGCTCAGTGACACACAAGCTTAGTAAGACTTCCTAAGACTGGCTCTTCTAACAACCTAAGCTAAAGAGCTTTGGGCAGCAAGGAGATGATGCACTTTGTGGTCAGATCTGTCCGGTTCTCAGGCTTCCAACAAGGTCATTCTTCTCAGAGACAGCCTTCCCCTGCGCACAAAGAGGAAGTGAACATTCTGCCTGCCCTGTACAGTGCCGGCCCTTTTATTTGCAAAGCGTACATTCCTAAACAAGTCTCTGCACTTTGAGATTGTGGTCTTGGATTCCCCTCCAAACTTGAGAAAGCACACCTCCCCTAGACCTCACCATCTGGCCCCCAGACAGTGACGTCTGTAAAGCTAGGCTGTCTCAGGAAATCTTGTTGGCGAAATGCACTCAGATAGGCTGGCTAGGAATGCTGTCCCCAGGACAGGGAAGGGGGCTGAAGAAGCCTGAACAAAGAAGATTCCTAAATGGTCTCCATCCTCCTGAGGTGGGAGGGGGTTAATGCTGGCCTAGTGCTTCCACTACTCATCTGGCCCCAGTAGTCCCCAAGGACTCCAGAGTGACCAGGAGATGCACACAAAGGGGTTGGGGGGGGGGGAGGGTGTGGGGAGGGGGAGAGGAGGAAATAAGTGATTGGCACCTTGGAAAAATGTAGACTCATTATCTGAGGGCCATTAACACCAGCCGCCAGTTTGCAGGCCTGGAGGAGGGGCAGGGCTGCAATCCCACTGGCCTGAATAGGAGGGTCGGACCTCAGCCTTGGGAGTAAGCGATGCCCCTTTCTGTGAATAGTTGGGTAGAGGGGAAATGTCCTGTGGATTCTGCAGAGCGTGGGGCGGCGAGAAACGGAAGGCCTGAGGCTCTCCTACCAGGCTGCAGGTGGTTCAGCCGAGGAAACCGTTTCCATGGTCCTGGTGTCTGGCTGCCACTGGGCAACCAGCAGAGAGCAAGGGAAAGGGGAGGGAAGAGCAGGGGCAGGAAAGCAGGGGACCCTCCTGTCTGGAGGAGTTTCCTTTGGGGACAGGCCCAGGCTCCAGATGCCGAGCACCAGCCTTTTCTTTCCTGCAGGACAGCTGAAGAATGCAATCCCACTGGTCCGGAATGGACGCCCTCAGCCCCTTGTTTCCCAGGGACGCCTGTGAAGAGTTCACATGGCTCTGCCAGCTAATAGCTGAAGCGGGCAGCTGGAGGATGTGGCCTCGTGCTCTGGAGCTGTGGCCCTGAGGAGGTGGCCCAGCCACCAGGGGTAAGTAAGGTCACCAGACACCCCCAGGTCTCTTCTATTTCTAGCCCCTATTTCTGTGATTGAAGTGCTTCCTTAGTGTGCTCTGCTACACATAGGCTCAAAGGGGATCCATCCCTCCTCTACATGGCCTTCCCTTTGCCCTGCCCCCGAAAGAAAAAAATGGCTGAGCGCTCTGGGTGCTTGACTGAGGCGCATCCTGCAGGTGGGGATGGTGGACACAGACTCCTGAAGGGTAGTTCCTGCAGATGGCACGTGCCGGGCAAGGACAACCCCATCCTCCCTCACCTCCCTCATGGGGGCCTCTGCCCAGAAAGATGGCGCCAAGGGGCGCGCCTCCTCCCTTTGGCCCCCAGAGGGCGTTGTGGGCCCACGCAGTCGTCTCCCCACCTGGGCCAGGGCCCCCAAGCCACAAAGCTGGGCACCAGGCCTTTCCCAGACCGACCCTAGCTGACCCCATGAGGTCTTCATGTTGTCCCCAACCCCTGAGTTCTGTCCTATCAAGTTACTGAACCACAACACTTGGGTCCCTGTTTCTAGTGACCTTAGAAATTTTTCTTCCTGCCTCACGTAGCAAACATTTAAAAAAAACTTTTATTTCTGCCTGGACTTTGTACTTAAATTACAGCCGATCCCAGAAGACCTTTGGGCCCCAGTCACCAGCTTACTGTTCTCCCTCTATTACCAGGCAGCAAACACCCTGCCTCCACCTCCCTGGGCCATACAGTCTTGGCTGGTACAAAGGTTTGCAAACAACTGTTAACTCCAACAGCAGTTTCCACGTGAGGGCCATGGGGGTGGCGTGGGCCCAGGGGAGGTCGGAAGAGCCCCTGCAGACATCTTATTCCTGTCTGTGGGCTCCAGTCGCTCCAAACACCTTTTCTGTCCCAGTCAATGGCATGTATCTGCTTAACACACGGGAACGATTTTATCTCCTCAGCGACTTCATTTAATGGAAGAACAACACCAGGCCTGGCCGGGGGATGGATGCAGGCTCGGGTCCTGGGTGAGGTGAGTAGGGGGTAGCCTCAACCTAGCTTTTGGCAGGAAGCCTGAGTAACCAGGGAATTAGCCCTGGGCCCTCTTCCTGGTCCTAAGTGGGCTCTTCCCCAGCCTTGAGTAACCCTCTATCAGGAATGACCAGGCCAAGGTCACTGTTAACAAGTGTTTATTGTTAATAAAACCATGGTACATTTACAATAAGTGACAACATTAATGTATAGTTACAGTATCATACAATATTACAGCAATAAAATAATGCCTATTCCTTTGTACATCCAGCTCAAGCAGCCAGTCGAAAATATTTTCTAAGATTGCAAGCCCCCAGGGGCTTTTCAAGGTAACCAAAGTGACACCTTCTGAAGTGTCTAGGGCTTTCGGTGAATAAATAGTTTCTAAGGTGCAGCCAGACAGCCTGAAGAAGGCTACACCCAGAGCAAGCTGTCCAGAATGCTCCCCCAGTGTCTGGTCCATAAATATGACAAGTGTCCAGCCCGATGCTGCCCCTCCACCTAGGGAAGCCCAGAGCCTGCAGCAGGCCCGGGGCAGGCAGGCGAGAAGCAGCAGGTCTTCTCCCAGCCGTTCCCTCCCACCAGTGCCCCATACTTTATACCCCCAGGACCCACAGTTTCCAGTGAGAAGCACTCCCTCTCTAGCCCAAGTTGAAGGACTCAGCCAGGGGTACACTTAGGGGTCTGCTTCCTGAGCCCACAGACGCAGCCTAAATCTAGGCTTAGGATTTCAGAATTGTTCCCTAAAAACAGCAGCAGCAACGCAAGCTGAGGCCCCCAGACTCTTCCATGCCACCCGGGGCTTAGACTGAAAGCTCTGAAGGCATCAGTTGGGGAGCTGCTGTACCACTAACTGAGTAGGTCTGTGGTCCCCAAAGGAGGGCCTCTGTAGGCCTAGACACCAAAGAAAATAGGACCGAGTGACCCTCTGTGCAGAGATCTTCAGGCCCCCTGGAGGCTCACATCAAGCCTTCAAAGGCACAGCCTTGAGCAAGTTCAGGGATTTGGGCAGCCTTTCTGACATGATGTTGAGGAGAAAATGCTAGCTTCTGTATGAAGTGGCCTGGGGCCCAGAGTCTATGTTCTCTACATTCATCAGGATACCCGTACCCCCAGGAGCCACAGCTGGGGTCCGAGCTTATGGAGACTTGGGGACTGAGGGCAGTTAGAGCCTGGAGGGCATGGTCAGAAGCTATTTCAAGCAGGGCTGAGTCAGGATCAGCCACAGATCTCCAGGAGGGGAGAAGTGGCACAAGAGGGTGAGTACACGGTGGCCCTCAAGGTGCAAACAGTATGGGGGTGGAGGGATGGGCCACCTTTTGACTTTGCCCATCACTAGGCAAGCAGACACAGCTCTGGG